ATTAAGGTAGGAACAGGGGCGGATTAGGATCCCATTAGGCTGGATAGGCTATAGCCTAGGGCGGCAGATTTTAGGGGGCGGCAAATTTTCAATTTTTGAATTAAAAAAAAATTTATTAACACTCGATTTATATTTGAAATACATTCTGATTTTCATCAAAAGAGTATAATATAAATATGTTCGTGATCATTACTGTTAAAAAGCGTATAAAGTGCTATTTTTTCCGGCATTTTCGGCAAAACTTATTTCCCGTTTTTTCCCTCCAATTCTCAACCGATTTTGTTGAAATTTTTTCTTTGAGTTTTTTTAATATTAAAAATTGCACTGTCATTAAGGGGCGGCAAATTTGATTCAGCCTAGGAGCGGCAGAAACCGAAATCCGTCCCTGGGTAGGAACATAATTATCTAATTCAAGCAGAATTGTGACGTTCTAAATACGTTCTGTGCGGAGCTAGAGGTTAAATAGTTTCAAGATAGGGTGATATAATTGCTTAAAATATTAAATTAGGTGTTAGATTGAACATTAAAGTCGAAAATAGGAGAAAAATTTCGATTCGGCCGAATTATGATTATAAAAGTTTCTTTAACTTTTATAACGTTAAAGAAATTTTTATAATCGTTATTAATGTATAAAGTTATTTCTCTACACTAATGAATTTTGTATTTTATTCATGCTCATTAAAGTTTCTATAAAATAAATTACTATCTTTTCCTACAAATTTGTGTATTATTTTATCATTGCTACATAAATATTTGATTAAATATTTGATAAATATTTGATTTGTAATTAAATTTGTATATTTATTAATTATAAATTCTTTTACTATAACCAAATAAAAAGTTTCTATTTTTAATAAAAGTTTTTATTTTTAAAGAATTAAAATTTCATAAACAACATATATGTATGTATCCATGACAACTGGTCGCGCATTTGTCCCTTTTCTCTTAATATATCAAAACTCGCGATTTCCTTTTTGGTAAGAGCAAAATCCGGTCTGAGAATTCTCTCATCACAAGTTTAAATAATGACCTTTTGACAGCAAATATCGCACTATCCAAATTAGTATAATAATTCATACAATAAATAAAAATAACGATAATGAAAAAAAGGTAAACATCTTGAAAGACATGTCAATGATATGTCAAAGCAACAAACACAATTTTTTCGGAAAATTCTTTTTCAGGAAAATCTCAGTCGAGAAGAATTCTGAATATAGGGAAACATCCGCACATTCGAGCGTGGCGAATTTGAAAGCTACAAATCATCTGAGACGGTCGCGATCTGCAAAGTCACCATTCGTACAGAATTTGCACAATTTGGACTTGTCGGAAAAAATCGCAAAGCCTGAAAACAATCGGACAATGCTACCAGACGAAATGCAACCGCCAAAAACTAGATTCACTTCTCGTGACAGATCAAAGGAGACGCGTTCAATCTCATCGCCGCGACTTAAAAGTTTTCCCGCTGAAAAGATCAAGAAATTAAACAATTCGCCGATGTTCACACCCGAGCCAATCAATGCTTTAATAATGCAACAAGATCCTCGGGAAACTAGAACTTTCTTTGCGAGTTCCTCTGTCAGAAGTAACAACGGTCATGGCGATGTGATGTTTGCTCAATTGTCGCCAGTACATCAACAAACAAAGGTAAATTTTAAATAAATCTTTTAATAAATTATTTTTTATTTTTAATTTAAATAAAAAATTATACAAAATATATTTATATTTCAATAATATTAAAAATAACTTTATAATAATGTTGTAATGCACATTACATACGATACATATGTTAAAGGTATGTATTTTCAGTATTAAATTATTGAAATATTAAATAACTTTGCTTTTGTATATCGGAAATATACTAAAATTATATTAAATTAATAAAATTAAACAAAATTAATTAATTAAAGAAGTTATATTATTATTTATGTATTTTCAGTCGCAAAATACATCCAGCACGAGTCAACAACAAATTGTAGCTAATCATCAACAGCCCCGTCAAACAAATCCACATTCTGAGAATTTGTTAACTCGACAAATCGCGTCTTCCGAAAGGCAGGTGCATCATCCATTTGTACCAAACGTCTTCCAAGGAGCAGTCAATCCGTCGACAATAATTAACCAGCCAGTAATTATTCAACCTTCTTCAACGCAAATGCCGCAACAAACTTCGAGCAATTCGCATGCGGTGATCGATCAAAATCACAATGAGACTACGGCTCTTGACAGTAAATGTGAAAAGCAACCGATCAGCGGTCGAAACGCGATTAATCACAGACAAATGTTCGTACAAATGCAGCAACAAAAACAAGAAGAAATTTTACGAAATGCGAAAGCGTTGTTAAATAATCGCTCTGCAAATGATTGTCAAAACGTCTATCACCCTCAATTATATTACCAATTTCATCAAAATCCTCAACGAATCTATCAACAATCGCCGCGCGATGCATACCATCAACAAATGCCGCCACATATGACCCAGCAAATTTATAATAATTTAGGAACATGCTGCAATTATTACAATCGTCAGTTATCCACAGCGCAAGCTCTAGGACAAGGAATGACTTCACCGCAGGATGTAACAGTGAATCAGATGAGATTGATGCAACATAATTTACCAATTCATCAACGGAATCATGGATATCCTGTTAATTCGTCATCCGTGTGGCCGCAAAATAATGGATGGATGCAAGCGACGAGTCGGAACCAACAACACTTGCACCAGCAGCCACAATGGCAATATTATTATTATCAAACGCCGACTGCAAAAAATATGAACTTTAATCAACAAAATTCAAGGAACCAAAGTCAACCTAATCCGTCGCAGAATCAGACAAATTATAAATCTACTAATCAGCAACCAGCTATGGCAGCTTACAACCGACAGGACGGCGGAAATAAAACGTTGCAATTCACACCTGAAATGATACGTGACCAAGAATTGCTAGTTTCCAGCATGAGGCAACAAGGTACACCCGATCAGGTGATGCAGCGTCAATTCGACGCATTGCTGAACGAGCAACGCCGACACCTGGCTTACGTCGCGCAGTTTCAACAGCAAAAAGACACCGTAGAGGTCAAAGAAACTCAACTTGCTCGAAGAAGGACGGAAAAGAACGAAAAGCCGGAATGGATGGTGCATATCACGCCACCACGGATATCGTATAATGAAATTGGAAGAATAGAGACACAAGTAGGTGCAAAGGAACAATGTCTGACGGATGGCCAATCGCCGGAAGAGATGAACAGGATAATTGCTGCTCAAGAAGAAAATTATAATCAACAGAAAAAGGCAGAAATATCCAATCAAATTGTTTCACCGCAGCAAATGTATTTGCGGATGAATCCTCATCAACAAATGGTTAGTTGGATGTATAGAAACGATCAGGTACCATATGGTTACGCAGGCCGTTATCTCTATGGTCATCAGCAGAATGCACCAATCAATGCGTATTATCGACCAAATCCTTCTTTTAACGACTATATTCAATATTCATACAACATGCCTTATAATCATCAATGTCATTCACGCGCTGAGCAAGAAATTCGGACGAAGAAGCATAATCTTAACTCGTCAAATTCAATTGATACTGCACATTTCTACCAGCAAAATAAGAGGCTCACTGAACCTTCTAGCTTACTGAAGATGCGAGTATACAAAGAAGTAATCTGTCCTCAGAAACGCAATAACGGCTTGCAAGATCCGCATACTATCCAGAAAACGCTAGAAGCGCTCAAGGATCCAGCGAATAGAAGAAGTCTCCAGTATCTGGCCAATTTAACTAAGAAAAAACCCGTGATCAAGTTAAACGGTACTCAGGATCCTGACGAGATTCCGGAAGACATGCAACCGCGATCTTCCATAGAAATCACCTCGCAATTTCGGAAAGGAGTTTCAGCGAATGGCTTAGAGAACACAAGGAATTCGGACAATCCTTCACCGCGTATCCTGCGACCTAAAAGAGCCGACGAGCCCATGATGATGGAATATCCGCGACAAGGACAAAACACAAGAACCTGTTATAGCATGCAAGCCGAAAAGGAGAACGACAATCAACAGCAAACCAGTCATGCAGTTGCCCATGCACAAGACGCAGGGTCAATTCCTTACGATCCACAGAGCGCGTCTACTGCACACAGATGCGGCAACGGCAACGGCAACAATGCTATGATTTTCCAATATGCAAGTGCTCCATCTCAAGATTATCATCAGATGCAGCAATACTATCTAAATAGACAGAACTTGACGGGCCACAATGGTGGCCAAGGTGACGTTGCGAGTATGCGACGGCCAGATATATCGAATGCGAACAGAATCAATCGCGCCGGCGGTGATACCGGCGAGAAATCGGGCGCTAAAGAGACAACGAAGCACACAAATGATGTGCAGGCGATGCAAGGGACGAACGCTTCAATCGGTCAATCGGAAATCCGCGAGGCAAGAACCATCGGAGGCATTACGTATCTCGCTAGCAAGTCTGAATACGGCATCAACAATTTTGTCGTATCGCCTAATAAATTAATCGCAAACAGACACTTGCAACCTCCTAGAATATTTTAACGAATATTTTTACTTGTTCGAAAACCCTAATTAAACATATCCCGGCAATTAACTGAAAAATTAAGTGATTAAAATATTATGTAATTTTTTTTATATAATTTTGTTTTTATATTTAATTAAAATAAACTTATTGCATGTGAAAAAAATGTGAATCTTACAGATGGCAAATTTATTGCGATATAAAATATTAAAATATTTAGGTGGATGTATGTTTTTATATCAGTGTTGTGAATGTATTTTACAATTTTGATTCTATTTTTCGATTTTATTTATATTGTACACGTGTTTTGAAATTTTGTTTTTTGATTTCGCGTTGTGTACATTTTAAGCATAAAATATTATCAAAAAATGTCTACGCGGTTCTTGAAGATATAATAAATAAGTATCTAAAGTATATATCACACACACACACACACACACACACACACACACACACACAAAATGTAGCCGATCATGTAATTTTACGTTTACTGTTTTTTGCATCAATATATTAGATCGTGTAATATGAAATATCCGATTTTACATCAGTTCAATATAATAGAGCGGCTCCAAGCGTTGAGTAGAGCCGAATTTATAACGGTCGCGAAAGTGTTAATATAGTAAATATTATTAATATTTAAAAATGACATCAACAGTGCGAAGTGAGTGACACAATACGAAATAATCGATAAAATTGATTATTAGATAAGAAGAAAATCTGTTAAAATACTTTTTTTTTCAAATTTTGATGCACAAGCTAAATTTACCAGTTACCATTAAAATTTTTGTACAAAAGCAAGTGCTTCCGATATGAATCGATGCGAGCAAAAGCGGAATTTTATGAATGAGATGCATAATATTATATGCGAAATAGAAAGTTTGTGAGTAAAGCATATATTTTTAAATTTACAACTACATATTATCTATTAACCGTTAAAATTTTTGATTGATTGGTTATTTGACGAAAAAATAAAGTTTGACACGATAATAAAATAAAGTTCGACACGATAATGCCACAAAGAAATATTTTTTTTTGTCAGAAAGCTTGAACCCGAGGTATGCAATGCAAGCTGCCCTCCCCTAGGATGTCCTCGGGGACCCTGTCCGGGGATGTGCTGTTCAAGAAGAATCTGCGATCCTTGTTGCGTATCGAAGATGCCACGCGACCCGCCCCCACTCCGTTTACCTCGTTGCTACATGCCACATTATCCGAAGGATTATTCATGCAGTGCGCCTTGCTCGTTGCCTTGCGGCTTTTCATTGATAGATATAAATCGAGCAAATCTAATTGCACGGAATGGTGGTTCGTCTAATCTAGCTTCTCAGAATCGCGATCAATTATACTTCCAACAAGTCCCATCCCCTGCTCCATGTAATCTCATACCAATTCCATCGTCTTGTTGCGCTATTGGACCAGTGATATGTTGGAATACATAGTAAAATCATTATCCAAAGAATCCATTACTTGTATTACAAAAGAATATTTTTATTTCCCATTAAAGAAATTTTGAAATAAAGTATTATATCATTTGTACAAGTTTATAACTTTGGCATAATTGTACTGTTTATTTTATTATATTATCATATTAATAATAATAATAATAATAATAATAATTTTATATAAATTATACAAAAAGCTTATGTATATGCTTTATAAGGCCATATATTTATAGGCATTATGTTGCATTATGTACTACTTGAATTTGGAATATTATGTATTAGCCTTGAACGAGGCTAGATATACAAATCGATTTCAGATATCAGATTGTTCAATAACATAATTGTGCTATTGAATATATTCAATTATTTCAGAGCATATATCAACGATATGGAATATTGATTATTCAAAATATTACTTTAATTAAAGTTAATCACTTATTAGCAATTAATAACATTTTTAAGAATTTTTATAAAGTCTTTAATTTTAAAAAATGGATGAGAAGAAAGAGAGAAATCTTGTTATGTGTTATCCAATAATACACAATTCTGTGAAAATATTTGCGGCCGTAACTAGCAAGTCATGCGATTTGATGGAACAAGAAGTTAGTTTGAAATAATATTTAGATTAAAATAGTTTAGAGCCTTTGCAAGAGGTTCCTCAATTTTATTAATGTTTTCTTGCAGTATGACATAACCCCTGCGGAATATATTAAACAAATGCTGATGAGTACTCAAGATAGAATCGATTATTTGCTAAAACCAGGTCGCAGTATAAACGTGCAACTTTTCTGTGACAACTGCAAAAGCCACTACTTCAAAGTTTCACCTGACATTGTCCTCTTTCAACAATTCATTCCTGGCAATGTGTACAATATGACGCTCACAGTTCGTAATGTAACAAAAGTAAATCTCTTCCATTTTACATATATTTCGTTAGCATATATTTTGATAATACATAATTAAGCTTATACGTTTTGTCATACTTGGCTTTGCCTTCGCTATATAACTCACACAAATTTAACTCCGATTTCATGTTTTAAATATAACACTAAAGATGTCGCAACACTTGAAAATTTTGTGCGACCCCGATCCCTTCTTTTCCGTTGAATATCACGGGTCAAATTACAGCGCTATGATAGCGCCAGGACTCGTTCACGTTTATGATGTTAAGTTCAAACCAGCGGAGAAACGAGACTATGAATATTGTGTCGAGTTTGTCAATGATACCAAAGTCTTCGTAGTGCCGATAATTGGTGAGAGGAAGGAAATTATATTATATATATAATTACGTATGGTCACGTAACAACGGAATCTACGGGTCAAGTTAATATTGTTCTAGCTATCGGTCCGAGACCTATTCTAGACATCCCCGACCGAATCGAAATACCAGCCACCGCAGTGAAAATTCTCTCTTCAAAGACTATTTTAGTGCGCAACTTGGGAGAAGCGCCGGCAATTTTCAATTTTTCCACAGATAAGTATGTATTATACAATATTTAATTTGAAAAATTTTTAGCAGAATTTAATCAATTAGTGATTATAAATTTTAACATATATATATATAT